TTTTTGAAGAAGGGTTTAGGCCCGAAACGTCAGCCTTCCTGCTCCTCTGATGCTGCTTTGCCTGGTGTGTTCATCCAGCTCTACACCTTGTTATCTCAGTTTCTCCAGCATCTGCAGTTCCTGCTATCTCTGAAACAAATGTTCTGGGAACCCAGGTTTGAATCCAGCCACGGCAGATAATGGAATTTGAATTCAATTTTAAAAAAGAAAATCTGAAACTAAGAGTCTAATGATGACAATGAAATATTGTCAATTGTTGGCAAAACCTATCTGGGTCAGTAAAGTCCTTTAGGGAAGGAAGCTACCGTCTTTACCCAGTCCAGCCTACATGTGACTCCAGACCCACAGCAATGTGGTTGACCCTTAACAACTGGTCATGGGTATGAAATGCTGGTCTACATCCTGTGAATGAATTAAAGAAAACTCAATGGTATAGTACTGAAGGAAGCCATTTCTCAACAGTTATCCTGTTCCAGCCCCCGTTCTTCTCCCTCAGTCCTGCAAATGTTTCCCTTTCACATCATTATGTTCTTTAAATGTCTTTCTCCTCATCACCCCTTCTGGAAATTATCTAAAATCCGTATCCTCTGATTGCCTAGCCCTGTCATTGGAAATAGACTGTCCTCACTCACTTTACACATTTCCATCATTACCAAACATAAGCTGCTTTGATCTAAGGAGAAGGGCCCCACTTTCTTCATGAAACGGAAGATGCTGGTTTTCCGAAAAAAACTAGAAGACTCAGTGATTATTGACATCAATGAGCCGCAGTCAATGAGCTGGAGGTGAGGGTGCAGGGGACAAGGTGGAAGAAAGGCACCAGCTGAGTTGCTCATTTGGAGAGTTATTATAGGCACATAGAGCTGAACGGTCCCCTTCCATGCTGTAAGGATTCTGTTTAATTTACTGAGTCCCCAAACTCAGACCATCAAAGCACTTTCTCTGAGGTGAGGATAGTTACAGGAGTAAAATCTGTTTGTGTGCATGATCAAACCCAGCTACTGTTGGCATTGTGGTGTCCAGAAGTGGTTGACAAGGAGGTTAAGGTTAGGTTTAGAGTTAGGTTTAGGGTTAGGAATAGTTAGGGCTAGGATTAGAGTTAGGGTTAGTGTTTAGGTTTGGGTTAAGGGAAGGAATAGAGTTAGGGTTAGGATTAGGGTTAGGGTTAGTGTTTAGCTTTGGGTTAGGGTTAGGGTTAGATTTAGGGTTTAGGTTAGGGTTAGGGTTAGGA